CCGGGCTGGGTGGGGGCTGCGGGGTATTGGAGCCGGGATGGACCGCTGGGGCTTCCCACCGCACAGGCACCTAAAGACACGTCGCCCCTATTTGCGGTCCCCAGAGACATCGAGGGTGGGACCCAGGGCGGGGGGCGGGGGGGAATATTGAGGAGCCTGGCAGGCCTGGCTGCTACCCCTTTTATCTTGAATTTCCCTGATCCTTCGCCCTCCCTCATCTAGGGCTGTGCAGCATGGATTGATTTATGGGGGAGGCGGGCATGTCCCTTCCCCCACCTAACAGATATGTCTGCAGGAGCTGCTCGGTCTGGGCCCTCGTCTCCCTGGGGGGAGCTAATGGAAGATGGGGAGCAGGGCAGGGCCTCGTTATTCCCTACTTTAGGGCCATGGCAGCAGCCTTGGCCTCCCCGAAGGGCTGGGTCCCTCCTCCCTCTTCCACTGACTGTCAGGGGTGGGGGAGGAGGGCACATTCTCTGAAGGCCCCCCAGGGGTCCCATCTGGGTGTGGGGAAGCAGAGACGCTTGGGGACAAAGTGTGGGAGGTGACCCGGAGAGGATGCATGTGCTCAGCCTGGGATTGAGAAAGCCAGGAGGGGGGCGTTAGGTGGCCTTCATTCCACAGCCCGCTCCAGGAGGAACCTGCTCCCACAGCCCCAGGTTTTGTCCTTGGGGATTCCACCCCCACCCCAGCCCTCCAGGCCAGGTTGGAAGTCCCCTGCGTCTATGAGGCGGGTCCATGTGGGAACAGGCAGTGCCCCTGCATTGTGGAAGGGTTGGGCCTGCGGGGGCTCCACAGGAGCCTCAGCCAGCCCTGCCCCATCTCAGGACCCTGGCCCTCAGCTTCCACGGGACTAACAGCCCAGAATCCCCTCCCTGCTGCCTTCTTCCCATTCAGCGCTGTCATGTGTTTGTGTCCTGGCTTCCTCTAGACCGGAATCCCCTTCCTTCCTCTTTCCCATCCCACCCAGAGGGAATCCAGGGGCCTCGTTTCATGTGGCTGCTGCTCTCTTGTCGGGATGAGCTCCCTGAGGGGCGGAGCCCTCTGCTCCCCTCCCCTGAGGCCTGTGTGTGGTCTCTAGTGGGATCACCACCAGGTCCACTCCAGCCAGGGCCTGGGTCCTCCCCTGAGACTGGTCCCAGGAGGGTTTGCATGGGGCAATAAACCTCCTTGCCCCTCACAGGGCTTCCTGCCCTTATGCCCTCTGCTCCCAGGGCCACAGTGGTGCCACTGACTGCCAGGTAGAGTGCCCTGTTAGAGTACCAGGAACGCTTGCCGACTGGCCATGCCCGGCATGGCTATGAGACAGGGCAGATGGGCATGAATGAACATGGTGTTTGGAGAAGGAAGACACCCTTATGGCGGTAACTAGACACCCACTCCCATACAGGTTTGTGCATAACAAAGGATCATGGCTGAAGAGACCACATGGGACCCTCTGGCCTCTGGGTCTTTCTATATCTCAGGGGCTGGAGAGAAACTGGACAATAGAGCGGGGGAGGGACAGCACCTTAGTTGGCTAGGACTTCCGTGCTTGTGTGTGACCTGGGCCTTGAGTTCATCAATGCAGCTCCCGTTACCTACCCGGGGGCTGATGCCGAGCTGGGAGGGAGAGGCCGCTGCTCTTGGCCGAGGGGCCCAGTAACCATGCCTGCCTCCCTAGGCTCGTCTTTGGCACACTGTACCCAGCCTATTCCTCCTACAAAGCCGTGAAGACTAAAAACGTGAAGGAATATGTGAGTGTATGACCCCTCAGCTCCCACCCAACCCCCATGGCAGACATAGGGGAGGACAGTGGGTCATCGTATAAAGGGGGGGACTGTCCCAATGCTATTGGCACTGATGAGACCCTGGTTCAAAGGCGATTCCTGTGTGTCCCTCTCCCCCGGCCCAGGTGTGACCCTCAGGCAAAGCTGGGGTCCTGCGTGTTCCCTTCCCCACAGAACGCCCAGTGTAGTTGGCAGGCAGAGGCCCCCCCAGCCCCAGCCAACGCGGCCCTCTGTCCCCTCAGGTGAAATGGATGATGTACTGGATCGTCTTTGCCTTCTTCACCACGGCCGAGACACTCACGGACATCGTGCTCTCCTGGTGAGGTCCAGCAACCCCTCCCTGCACCTTGGGTCCAGGGCATCTGGCTTTCTCTACCCAGCCAGCCATGAGGCCACAGTTCTGTGCGGTCCCGGATGCCCTCCCCCAGCCCATCCAGGCCTGCCTTGATCAGCAGAATAAGAACAAACATACCCTTCACATTTCTTTTTGGTGGCAGCCAGAGCACCACAATAGATTTCAGGAAAGCTGTTTCTGCCAGGCTTCCTGTGGCGTTTGGCAGGCCACAGCTCTCTAGCCTCAGTTTCTCCATTTGTAAATGTTTCAGTCCTATACACATTGGATGATTGTACTTCAAAGACATTTTTCAGACACTACTAGACTATAAACACTGAGGACAGGGAGGGCATGTCTTAATCATCTGTATGTTCACAGCAGGAGCTCAAAAATGTTTATTAGATGGGCAAATGTGTTTGGAAGAGAAGACTAACATAGCACACACAGTACACTAGAAGTCAAGGGGGTTTTAGGGAGAGGTAGAGGACAAAAGATCATTGCATTTATAAATTACAGTTATCCCTCACTTAAAGTCATCGACAGGTTCTGCAACTTTTTAAAAAAAAAACATTTTTATTGATTTCAGAGAGGAAGGGAGAGGGGTAGAGAGATAGAAACATCAATGATGAGAGAGAATCATTGATGGGCTGCCTCCTGCACGCCCACTACTGGGGATGGAGCCCACAACCCGGGCATGTGCCCTTGACTGGAATCGAACCCAGGACCCTTCAGTCCACAGGCCGATGTTCTATCCACTGAACCAAACTGGCTAGGGCAGGTTCTGCAACTTTAAGCGAAGCGACATATAACGAAACCAATTTTACCACAGGCTAATTGATATATTAATAAGAATTAAGTTCCTAGAGCAGCTCATCAACGTTATAACAAAATGGCATTGAATGAAGAGTTATTTCAAGACCTGCTGTACAAGGGCCTATGGCCTTTGAGAAGAATAATTTTAGCACAGGAAGGAAAGTGGGTTGAAAATTGAGGGCAGTGCGTATAGATGCCTCTCGACTAACACAGGCACAGGAGAGAGCTTTGATGGATGCTTTGTGAGGCTGTAGGAGACATGCCTGAAGGAGTTTGTGATCTGAGAGAGGGAACCGTGGGGAAGGAGAATAGTCCTTAAAAGCGAGGGGCATGTCTTGGCAGCAAGAGAGAGTACCCAGAGCACAGCTGGAGAAGGCCCTGTCTTCATGGGGGGAAAGGGCAGGGAAGAAGGGGTGAGGACACAGTAGACCTAGAAGGTTAGGGAGCACCCTGGGTGTTGACCCCAGAACAGAGGAGTAGGGGATCTTCTTTCAGGGTGAGAGGGGCTGGGGTCTCCCAAGAGAGAAGAGGGCAAGGGAGCCACTGCCGAGGGGACCTCCTACTGGGCTCACTTCTCACCTTCCCACTGGGGTCATGGCTGAGCCTCCCATTCTCCTAAGCCACATGGGGACCCCAGTGCACTTAGTGGTGGGGGGCTCGCCAGGGTCATACAGGGCATCAGCGCACCTCCTGACTCCCTGCCCCGGCTTTGCCTCTGTCCCCACAACAGGTTCCCCTTCTACTTTGAGCTCAAGATCGCCTTTGTGATATGGCTGCTGTCCCCTTATACCAAGGGCTCCAGCGTGCTCTACCGCAAGTTCGTGCACCCGACACTGTCCAACAAGGAGAAGGTTTGCTCCCACTCTGCTTCCCCGCCCGCCCCAGGCCAAGGCAGCCCTGTGCCTGCAGCCACATACATTCCTGGCCCTCCCAGAGCCTGAAGTGACCTGGCAGGGCCCTGGCCTTCTGCAGCAGGCAGTGCCTTGCCCAGGTGTGAACGAGAGCAGGGCAGGGCCTGGCCAAGGGGGCCAGCCCTCACCTCTTCCTTGCTCCCCTCTGACCCCTCAAGGAGATCGACGAGTACATCACTCAGGCCCGAGACAAGAGCTATGAGACCATGATGAGGGTGGGCAAGAGGGGCCTGAACCTGGCCGCCAATGCTGCGGTCACAGCTGCTGCCAAGGTGAGATGGGGGCAGACCCAAGCTCCTGGGGCCCCACCTGTTCATCTGGTCCCCCTGGTTAGGTCCTGCCTCCACGCTGTCCTCAGGGCTGGGAAGGTTCGGGGCTTGTGCAGCCGGGGTGCCAGTCCTAGGTCTCCCACACTCCAGCCAAGTGACTTCCACTCTCCGAGCCAGTTTCCTCCTCTGTCCAAAGGGAAAGGGTGGCCCCAGCCTGTCAGTGCCACCTTAGGACTGGCTGGGGACAGCGTGGGGAAGGCACCGAGCCCAGTGGCTTCCCAGTGCCCCTTGGTGACCACTCTCTCCACCCCGCCCCTTCCTCCGGTTCTCCCGGTGCGTGGTGGCGACCCTAGGGCCAGGGGGTGCTGTCCGAGAAGCTCCGAAGCTTCAGCATGCAGGACCTGACCCTGATCCGGGACGAGGACTCCCTGCCCCTGCACGGGCCTGACGGCCACCTCCGACCAGGCCCCGGCAGCCTCCTGGACACCATTGAGGACCTAGGTACAGGCTGGACAGCCGGGCATGAGGGCACGGAGGTGACCCGGTGGGAGGGACACCGGGACCCTGTTCTCCTTTTCTCCCCACCACCAGGAGATGACCCTGCCCTGAGCTTAAGGTCTAGCTTGAACCAGGCAGATTCCCGGACAGAAACCTCTGAGGATGATGTGGGAGACAAGGCCCCTAAGAGGCTCAAACCCATCAAAAAAGTGCCCAAAACTGAGGTGAGAGCCCAGAAGTGGGGGAGACGGGGAGGGGTTGTGTCTCCAGGCTGAGCGTTCTCTGTCTTCCTCCCTCCTTCCCACAGCCACTGGCTTCCAAGACGGTGAAGACCCGGCCCAAGAAGAAGACCTCTGGCGGGGGTGACTCGGCTTGAGGTTTCGACCCCTCAGGCCACAGAGTCCTGCTCCACACTGTGCCCGTAGCCCATGTGTCTCAGGCCCAGGGCCCCTCAGATGGCTGTTTCTGGTGCCTGCCCAGAGGCCACTTGTTTGGAAGGGCTTGGAAAAGAGGAGGGAGGTCCTGTTGGGGGGGGTGGGGTTTGAAGGTAGAGGCTGGGCCTGGAGCTGAGGGCTCCTCAGAACCTGAACTGCCATTGTCCCCACTCCAGCTCTGTGTGCCCACCCAGTGCCTTGCTGAAAGCCATGGCCATCAGCTTCTCTGCGGTCCTACTGTGCACCTACTGCTCTCCCTGGGTTGGGGACAGTCATAGTCCCCATGGACCAGAGCCGGGCCTGAAGGCACCTGGGGAGGGCGGGAGTGGGAAGCCTCGGGGAAGCAGGGGCTCCAGGCCACGGCCCTGAAGGGAGGACAGGGCCTTAGTGTGTGCTTCAGTGACCGGACGGCCAGGCCGGAGCTGGAGCTGGGGCATTGGATGAACTGTGTGCTACGTGTCCCCACTAAATAGAGGTGGGGTTCCAGGGGTGTGCGTATGAGCGTGTGTGTTTGTGGGTCTAGGGCTGTGGGTATTTGGGGTAAAGGACTTTCCCTCCAGCAGTGACCTCCTCCCGCCCTCAGCCCTCCTTCCTAGTCTCTGAGCCTCAGAGGACTACAGCCCATGAGGTAATGGGGCTGCCAGGAGCCGCTCACCTCCTTCTCTGCCCTCAGTTCTTTTTTGCCTCTTCCTTTCCTGCCCCTGGACTGGGCTCCTCTACGCCTCAGGGCCCACAGTAGAGGCCCCTGGGGAGCCAGCTCCTTTGCTCCACACCCAGAGGCCCATCCTCCTTTCTCCCAGGGTCCTCTTCCTGTGCCCAGCAGACTAGGCCCCATGTGAGCAGACCCTGTCAGAGCCCAGCCTGTGCTCCACACCCTGCCCCAGCTTCTGCCGCCATTTCAGTCAGAGCCAGGAGGAATGTGCGAAGAAGAAAAAGAAATTCAGGAGCCAAGGGTCTCCCAGTTTGGTGGAGAGTGGATGCTCATTGGACCTCTGGATGAGCCAATAAACCAAACTCTGGCACTTGACTAATTTCAGCCTCTGTGCTTGTTCTCGCCCCACCCAGTCCCGGGGGGAAGGACCTGAAGTGAGACTCAGGACCCAGCTGTGGGAGGGAGTGGGAAGAGACCAGAATGTGAGCATCAGGAGCTCCAGGGAAATGGTTTTGGGTTCAAGATAGAGTCAGGGGACCAAGAGGGGTCAGGACTTAAGAAGAGTTAGGGGTTCAGGGAAATGGTTTTGGGTTCAAGATAGAGTCGGGACCAAGAGGGGTCAGGACTTAAGAAGAGTTAGGGGCCTCAACCCTCTAGGGCCTCCTGCCCTGAGACCCCTCCCCACATGGACTTTCTGGTACCTCATGAGAAGTGCCAGGTGTAAACTCTGGGGACAAAGACCACGATGAGGCCTCCCAGGCGGGACGGGAGGGTTGGATGGCCGCAGTGCCTACAAAGGCTAAGAAATGTTGGAGGGGGGCTGAGACTGAAAGGAGGAGACAGGTGGGTGGAAGAAAGAGGTGGAGATAGGAACCAGTCCCAAGGCCCATGTCTGACCCTGGGAACAGACAAGGAGACGGGTACCCAAGGACTGGAGCCAAAGAAGCCGCCCATGTGGCCCCAGAAGCGAGGGATTGAGCCCTGAGCTGCTGGGCTAGGTTGGAGGACAGGGGGAGACGGCGGGACATGGGGTCTGAGCCCTTGGGAAGAAGATCCAGGGGCCAAGGGACACAACTGGCTGAGATGAGACCCTGGAAGGTAGGACTCAAGAGAACGGAAAAGATGGCAGAGGAGTAGAAGCAGCATCAGAAGATAAAGGAAAAGAATGGAGAGGGAAGGATGAGGGAGGGAGAAAGGAGCAGAGAAATAACGGCTCAGCCTCCTGGAAGGAAAATGGAGGAAGCAGAGCATGGTCTGGGGTAGGGAGTGTGGGGACCTAGCCCCAGCCTCTGGCTCCAAGACTGGCAAGATGCCCCTACACCAGGCTTTTCTCTTCCTCCCTGGCACCATAGGGTATGACCTCCAGCCGCACTTGAGCCACGCTGGCCACGAAGGGCCAGACGGAGGCTGCCGGGGAGGGGAGGTGTGAGACGCCTTTTCCAGTCCACAGCCGTCTCAAGGTCACTCCTTTCACCACTGGCCTCTGAGAAAATGGGCCCCTTTCTATATCAGAAGGGAGAGGAAGGGTTAGGGCAGAATTCAGGGGAGAGACTCCCTTGTTCTAGAAAGATCTCCAGGGAGCAAGATGTTAAAGTCTCATGTTAGCAGCTACCATAAGGCCAGGAAACCAGGCTAGGCCCCCTCTAACCTAAATCCTACTTGCTGCATTACACATACGCGCACACACACACACACACACACACACACACACACGGCACACACACACGGGCGCACACACACACACGGGCACACACACACACGGGCACACGGGCACACACTTGCACCCACAGTGACCGGTAGCTAAGGACGTCACTGCCAGACTCAGCATCGCCAGGCTCTCCATGCACATCTGGGTTTCCCTGTGTCAACAGAAACATGCTCAGATTTCTAAGCTCATTGGTCCGTTGCCATGGAGACAATCATTCTCCTAGAACTTGGCACAAGGCCTGGCCACTGTAGTGCAGGGGAGGAGAAGAGAGATGGAGGGTGACAAAAAAGGAGTGAGTGGGAAGTCTCCTGGCAGCAGGTTGGGGAGCCCTTGCTACCTCATTCCCTGGGACCACCTGCCCTCTCCCCTCGTAGGTCCCTCTAGGCCAGGAGAGTGGGACGGAGAAGTCCCACCGAGGTGTACGGCTAGAGCTATGTGGAGGGTGCCAGTCACGGCCTGGGTCCCCAGTGGGCGTTGAGGGATCATTAGTTGTGAAGCGGGGGCTGAGGTCTAGCCCTGTGTCCCGCAGCCACACCACCTTGGGGACACTGGGCAGCCCTCTAAGCCTCGGGTTTCTGGCTAGAATGGCCGCAGGCCTGGAGCTTCTTCAGCCGGCTCCCCCTCCCTTTCCTCTGTGAGCCCCACCTGGAGAAGCTGCTTAAAATGGGATTTCCAGGCCGTGACGTCAGAGGAAAGCCAGCAGCTCCAGCCTGTGCCAGCTCTTCTTCAGCAGCAGAGCTGAGCCCAGCCTTGCTCAGCCTGGATGAAAGAGGGGAAGGCAGAGGAGGCAGAGGAGGCAGAGGAGGCAGGGGCTCTGGGCCATGGTGCCCATAGCTGTGGCATCCAGGATACCATGGAGTTTCCAGGCCAAAATTCACTGCTGGCTTCTCCACTGCCTTACATTTCAACCAGTACATGACCATCTTCCTCCTAAATTCCCGTTTTTTCCTCTCTGAGCTGCATCAGGCCTGCCTGGAGGAAGAGGGCAACCTTGAGTCAGAGCCATTTGGGTTTTGCCTGAGTTTGTCCTATATCTAGGCTGGAGGCTGCGATGCTTGGCAGGGATGCCTGCAAGAAGGAAAAAGCCCACTAGGTGGCGCAGCTCCCGCCCAATATGGGTTTCCCTGGCCCCTGCTGGGGACAATCTTCCCTGCAGCCCGTCTGCTTAAAATATGGTGAGCAGGGTGCCTCATGCCTCACTCCCTGGAGTTAGAGGTTCATGAATAAAGCATTCTTGCCGGTAGACAGGTCAGCTATGGATTCTCGAGCAATCGCTTCATAAGCTCAGCCTGTGTGCACACCTGGTCCTACTCCCCACAGGAGGTCAGAGTAGAGAGCAGGTATTCCCTCCGGGTGAGAATCAGGCAGCTCCGGAGAGCAGGGAAATGGCAAGCCTGACCCTGGAAGGGCCCTGCAGCACAAGGGACCCAACCTGGGCTTCTGAAATGGCATCTGGAGAGGCTGCTGGAGCTGATTCAGGGTCAGGTGGGGAGAGGGACCCAAGCAGTGGCAAGGGTTAGGGAACCTGGGAGGGGCAGCTTGGGCCCAGAGGAAAGGAAGCTCATCTAGCCGCAGGATCCCATGGATGTGATCTCCCTGATGGCCACAGTGGCGGTCCCAGGCCTGCCCCAGGTTTCCCCATCCGCTGTCCCTTCATCTATTTTCTTTTTTAAAAAACTTTTTTATTATTATTGATTTCAGAGAGGAAGAGAGAGGGAGAGAGAGATAGAAACATCAATGATGAGAGAGATCAGCTGCCTCCTGCACACCCCACTGGGGATCAAGCCTGGAACCTGGGCACATGCCCTGACCGGGAAGCGAACCATGATGTCCTGATTCATAGGTCGAGGCTCAACCACTGAGCCACGCTGGCCAGGCCCCCCTCATTTATGTTCATCAGGGGTGTCATGGGTTAAAAAAAGGAGACAAAGCCTGACCGGTTTGGCTCAGCGGATAGAGCGTCGGCCTGCGGACTGAAGGGTCCCGGGTTCGATTCTGGTCAAGGGCATGTACCTTGGTTGCGGGCACATCCCCAGGGGGGAGTGTGCAGGCGGCAGCTGATCGATGTTTCTCTCTCATCGATGTTTCTAACTCTCTATCCCTCTCCCTTCCTCTCTGTAAAAATATCAATAAAATATATTTAAAAAAAAAAAAGGAGACAAAGACCTTAATCTCCAAATCCTTGAATCCCAAGTATTTTTGCAGGAGCCCAGGCTGAGGATCCTCCGTGATCTACCTCTCCCTGACCTCTTTCCCAAACTGACCCCACCAGCCCTGCACCCCTAATGAATTACCCTCTCCTTTTGTCCCAGCCAGATGAGTGATCAATAAATAATGCTGCCTGAAATATTGATGGCGAGTTTTACACCAGGATCCCTTAGCTGTGCCCGTCACTGGGGAACTGGAGAGCTGACAGAGAGATGTATGGCCCCCAGAGAGCTCTTCCCTGTCTCTGCCAACAGAAGGACTTTCTTTGCCAAGATTTCAACCTGCTCCCATCTCAGCCAGAATCATGATTCACTCTTATCAAGTAAGAAGAGGAAAGATCCCCAGACACTGACTCAGCTAGCCCCCAGGAAGGATGGGGTAAGCTAAACCAAGCAGAGACCCTTCTTGAAACCCGTGCCTCCTGTGATGCGATTGAGATCCCGTTTCCTCTGTTCTATGTCCATCTTGGACCTGCCAGGTCCAGCTTTCTGAGTGAGTCGAAAGGAGACCTGTAACTTCCCCGCCCCCACCTAAACTAGTTAGAGCCAGAGCAGAAGGGACCGAGCGAGCACTCCCAGACTTCTCTGGCCTAGGTCCCTCTCATCTGGTTTTGTTTTCCCTGGAGGGAGGGAAGGAGAGAGGAGGAGGAGGTGGTGGACACTTTTGAGCCCGCCTGAGCCCAACTCACCCAGCGCCAGCGCCCTTTGCAGAAGCCTGGCCCTCTCAAATCCTTGCATGTGCAGTGCCTCTGCCCAAGCACTCTTGTTCTCCTGTTTCAACTTGACCAACTCCTGCGTGCACCTCAAGTCTCAGCTTAGATGGGACTCCCCGACCCCATCCCTCCGGGCCCCTGTAGCATCTGCTCTTCCTCCCCGACAGCACACATCACCCTATCTGTTTCCCCACCACACTGAAAGCCATGTAGCAGGCGATGGGTCTACCTGGTTTCCCACTATTTCCCCAGCATCTAGTACGGAGCCTAGCACACAGTCAGCACTCTGCACATTTGTGTGGAATGTTTGAGTGGCGTCCCTGCAGCACTCCTGGGAAAACACCAGCCTTCAAACCTCAGCATCCCTGTGCCGAGTTGTCGGCCTGCACCTGAGGATGCTGCCCAGATCAGCCCCTCCCTCTGGTTGCCCCGTTGTGCTCAGGCTCACTTGCTCTCCTTTTCTCTCTCTCACACACACAGATGGGAGTCAGCTTTCCAGCCGCATTCAGTTCTCACTTTAATTCAAAAGCTAAATTGGGAGGAAGAGCAGCTTCACACTCCCAATTTAGCCTGGGAGAGAAAAGGGGAGACAGCCTGGATGTTGCCAGGGAAAGGAGAAAGTTGGGTTTGGGGCAGGGAGTGATGGCAAACATATCCAAGAGAAGACTAGAAACCCCCACCACCCACCTCCTAAGAATAAACCGTACAGAACCATGACCCCAGGATGACCCCTATAAAGCTTCTTTCCTAC